TTCTAGCGCTATACAAATTCTTCATCATCATCATTACCATTATCATCATCTCCTATCAAACTGGCGTGAAATAACCTCTATCTTATTTTGTCTTTTTCACCTTCCGTTTACAGGTGAACCCATTTTCGTTGCACTTCAACAAATCCTGCTGGAAGCACGCATAGAGTCCAGCAAAACTAAGCTGTCGCAGACGTTAAAGAGGACTGCTTGGGAGAGAGGTTTTGCGATTTCTGACAATCAAGGAGAGGGGAACTGCATGTTTTTTGCACTTTCAGAGCAGGTTGACCTCATCAAAGGAATTCAAATGTCCCATGATGAGTTACGCCGAACTATTGTTCAACACCTTCGGGAAAACCCCAGGCTGGTAAATACCTTATTATTTTTGCTTGGGTAGATTCATCTGCGAGCCGTAAGCCGTCGCATTTGCCCGCTGAATTTTTTTCGTTGTTCTTAAGGTTATTAGTAATAAGACCCTGTCCACACGTAGTGTATTTGAATTTTTTTTCGCCCGTCTACATAAGAACGCTGAAATGATTGAAATACGATAGCATCCCTCACAGAACAAACGCAGTGCTACTAGCATATAATAAATGACACCGTCGTATTAGAAAACCTCTGTTTTTGTCCGTCCACACGGAAACGAAAAGTCGACGTTTTCAAAAGTCCACTCTGGGGACCGCTTTCTGTTGACCTGTGTTTTTGGTGCCCGAAAAGGCCGTTTTCGTGTGGACAGAAGGCTAAAAATACCCTGATACGTGTGGACGGGGCCTTAAATTCCTGCAAGCAAATGCGACGGGCTTCACGGGTATGCTGCAAATGAATCCACCCTTTATTAGCGAAACAGCAGCTCTGCATGAGCATCACCCATGTTTGTACTTTTCTTCGTCGTCCACTGCACGACGTGAATCTTCCTAGTGCGACGTTTTGTGAAGGACCTCGAACGCACGGCGACGAAGTATTGTTATTAGATCGGGATGCTGTCCTTAAAATACAAATCCCAGAAATTTCTTCTCCTTTTTTTAATTTACAAAACGCTACATAAGGACCATGAAGATTTAAATTAACGCAAATTAGTTTCCTTTAATCACATTTTTATCTCGGAAATGGAAAATAGAAACCGATTTTAGGAAATCTGTTTCTGTCGCCTCGATCGTCTGACTTATGTCCTAATTTTTTATAAGTACGTTATTTTACTAAGTAGGAAATGTTCACTGAAAGCCGCTTTGTTCCAACAGCATATGTCTATATAGTGAAGTGAATAGTTTATTTAAAGAGGGTAAAACTTGACAGTTATAACATCAACTGATAAACGTGAGGTCCTCAATACTGGTTATATATGTAGGGCTATTTCTGACCCAACGTACTTGGCCTGGTCGAAATTTCCAAACTTTTATTATTTCCTGATAAACACCTCTTCCCCTTTCACTTACACGTGTGACAGACACCTCACTAAAACCTCCTAAAGTACCTTCCTGAAAGTGTTGGTCCCTGCCGTTCTCAATTTTTTTTTTTTTTGGACTTTTTACAAGGATAATAGTATAGGATACACAGTTTAGACCTCGTTTTTGAAGTGAAATCTCATTAGCATGAAGTGGAACAAATAAGTGTAGGTGTCATCTTTATCTCATGAATAAACTGCGGTAGAATCTCATCAAGATATAAACGTCTAAGTTATACGAGTTATTTTTATGTAGTGTCTAGTATAACCAGTTATTCTTACATTGATAGTGTAGGAATCATGTTCTTATTTGGTGAGAATGCCGTAAAAGTTTATTTCATTGTCCATTGCAGAGACCCTTTTGGCCTGGTTGCGGTTCACTACTAAAGTGGACATATCTGCTCTAGTGCCGATACCAGCGGGGTCCGCGCAGCTGCCTGAATATATACCTTCTGCAAAAGCACTCTGCCTTTTTCTGCATTAACTACAGTATTTACTTTCTTTCTTACAGCCGAATGGGACAGAACTGTTTCATTTTGTTCATGGATATTCATCTTGGGATGCCTACCTCACGTGCATGATGGTAGATGGTACATGGGGTGATCACGTGATTCTACACGGCGCTGCAAACTTTTTTCAAACGTGCATCCACGTGATCAGCAGTCTGCCACATTGCCATGACGTAATGATTTGTCCAGAGTATGATGTTACTGGTAGCAACCGGCTTGTCCTGGGTCACGTGGATGAGCTTCACTATGTTAGCCTTATTCCTTACTCGAGTGATTTAAGGCATCCCTCCTCGCTCCATTTTGGGCTTTTGTCATTTCTTCTTGTTTTATCCGCCATCTTCTTTCATTTTTACTTAAACAGATGTGCTTAAGTTTGAAACCATTTTTGAAGCTCACACTGTGCCTCTTAAGGTCATGTGACCAGTCACGCCAGGAGCCCAGTCACGTCCATAATTATGCAAGTTAAGTATTTTCAGATAACGTCATGAAAATGGCAGTTGAAGCTCCCGTTTATTTTTCCATAGTGTTAGGTTTAAAGTCAAATTGAACGGAGAATAGCAAATTATTTTATTCCTATGCAATTATCAAATGTTTTCTACTCAACACAGTCTCACTCTCAACTGGAAACGTTATAGTTCACTCAAAACACCGATTAATTCCATAAACCTTGTGTTAATAATCATTGAAAGAAAAGCAAAATAAATCTTAACTAGTATTTGTAAAATGTCGTAAAATTGGACCAAACTAAATGGCAAAAAATGGGCGTGACAAGTCACGTGACTAAGGTAGCTCCTTAGTGACAAGGGATAAGAACATTTTTGAAGAAGTATTTACCGCATGCAAAGTTTCAAGTCGAAAAGTTAAATCTGCTTTAAACTAGACTACCCCCTTACAATTTTAAGAGACCCATTCCTTAATTCACCCGAGTTATGTCTGATTACACTTAAATTCAAGAGTTCTGACCTCGCGATATCAAATTCAAGTCACTTGAGTGAGACAAAATGCACCTTAATGTGGCTTCAGGAGCAAATCGGAGTAAGAAAGACCGTAACTGGATACCTTTTCCAGTAATGGGATTGCTTCCATCAAAATAGCCAAATGTGCTATTTTTAGCACAAATTTTGCCATCTCGTGCGACACGCACGCGGATTTTTTGCGAGGCCGCCGCCTAAAGGATAAACAACCAAAGTGGCGTGGGAAGTTGCCTACGTAGGAGATGAATGTATTCTGTCATAATTGCCTCCTCTGAATTTGAGGCGGAAAGTTAACAAAAACAGCAGATAATTATGGTTAATATTCCTTCAAAAAGCGTCTACCGGCAGAATATCACGGAAATAATACTTTAAATATAATAATTTTTCCACTCAACGTTCTCCTTGGCTTCGTGGCGCAGTGGTCTAGGAGCCGACCTTCCGTGGAGATGGTCCATGTTCGACTCTCAGCTAAGCCAATATTTCTTTGTTGTATAATTTTTTCGTTTGTTTTTGTTTTCAATCATATTTTTCTCCTTGGCTTGTTTTCTGTTATTCTTACTGCTGGTCCATTACAGCCTCTCGAGGTTTTTGCAGTAAACGTATCTCTAGTGATGCTTACATAATATTGGCTCATTCTTTCACGGTGCATGCATTGCCTATCGAGATATGATGAAGCACTTGGAAAGTTCGGAGAGCACCCAAAGAAAGTCGCAAAACGATCGCCCGTCTCCTGAAATTCCACAAGAGTGCCGCGCAAATTTGCGTGCTCCCGCGCGCGTTTTTGACGTTGAGGGTGACGCAGCTTCTTCTAAAAATGGTACATTTGGCTCTTTCGATGGAACCGCGTGGACCCCGCGTTTGCGGTCTCCTACTCCGATTATGGCTCCTGGTAGCTCCTTATTCGCTAAGCTGTTGACAAGAAATAAGACGTCTATTTTTCTTCATGTACAGTTTTTTAATCCGTCAATGTTATTGTGACGGCACAAGTAGCCTTTTCAATGCAAACCTTTTATGTCTCAGAAAAAGTCATACACAGTCGTCTTAGTACTACGATAAACTGATTACTGTTGTATTCTCAACAGATTTTGGTTGTTAGGGATCACCTTGCCTACAGTCCCCTGTAAATACTCCGTCATTAGACCTTGTTGTAGTTCAAGTCCTAGCAAAATGTGTTTACTAATTATTACTAGTGTCTCAGTTTGCGAGTAAGGTCGCGGATTATTATTACTGTTTGCGGCGTGTGTGAACACTGGGTCTTACCGTCTGCAAGTATACAGGTCAGAAATTTTTTCTAGCATTTTCACTCTTATTAAGGGTCATATAGTAGCTGCTCGGAAGAGAAGTCACCAATGGTGCGTTTTCCTTACCCCAAACAATACTAAACCAATTGGAAGAATCACATGTCATTGTTTCCTGTGACCAATTAGAAGAGACCTTCCGAGCAGTAAGGTGTTAAGAACAGTTGTGCTCCAGCTGTTTCTTGCCCGCAGTCTCTGAAAATATGCAGTGTCGGGTTTAGTCCTGAGTAAAATTTGTTCGTAAAGGATCACTCATATCTTAGAATGCTCAAAACACATTTCCAGTTGAATCTGTTCGCTTAGAATCGTTTCTGTTTCAGGTGCTCCTTATCAATCTGTGAATATTTTCAGCCAGGTTTCATTGAATTGTAAAGATTTGTTAAGTGTCATTTCTGTCTGCCAGTAATCCTTATCTAGTGTGTGAATACAGATTGAAACCTCTCATCACCCCCCGTCACGGGTGAACACCAATTCCTTATCATAATTTGTAGGTACGTTTTATAATAGAATTCACTTACCAGAGTATTTTTCTTATCATGCTATGTAACCATGTGTAAATATTTTACAAAGGCCATTGCTTATATTTTGGTGCATCAAGTAAATATAATTTATGGTAAAAGTAGTTTGGTTTTAAAACGTTTCCTTAATCTACCTAGTTACTGAGAGTCTTTTTACAATAAACTATAGTTTAAATACTTATAAATTAAAACTTATACATTTTCTCGGTTGAGTCATCGGTCCGAGTTCATGTATGCTGCCATCTGCCCACCCCTTTGAGTTTTCTCTCGCTGAATCAACCGTTCTCCGTCTTCCGGTAAATTGCGTTTTTCGTTATTCTGAATGGCATCTGTCTACCGTTGCTCTTAATATTGGGGTAAAAACTGTGAGGGAAAACTATAGCTGCAACTATAAACACCAACTAAAAAGACTAAAAAATAAGCTAAAACTAAATAAATGAAATAATTATCAAGCTTATTTATGTGACAATTTTTGAAATAAACGTAAAGTAGAAATGAGAAAATTTGACTGTAATTCCTTCAGAATAACAGGTAACACTAATTTTAAACAGAAATTAACTAGCTTTGTATCGAAATCTGTCTGGGGAAATCCAGCTATGAAAGTCAAAGTTGCAACTGAAATTCGCCGACACACAGCAGGCGCTGAAGCTGTTGTTTTTCGACCGTTCTCTGAAAGACTGTTATAAATGAACACTGAGGAACAAAATAATACACACAGAAGTTATTTTTTGAAAAATTTATTTGAAAACCCAAATGTTTCTGTACTCAAATGAAATTCGCTTATTCCAGCGTAATGTGCCCGTTTAAACTCAACTAAAATTTTTAATCGATGCGATGAAAACTTCACAACAAAGCTGTCTCGAATTTGAGCGTGTTTCCTAAAATATTTGCTTGAATTTAGCATCAGCTTGACCAAAAAGTCAATAACACAATGCTAACTGATAAATTTACATTTTAAACAGACTTTCTCTTCTATAAAAAACACACAAAATGTACCTTAAATCTTCGCTCGCTCGATTTTCCTTTAGCGAAGAAAACAGTGACTAATTCATCCAGGGCAAATTTGTCGCTTGATCTTTTGTCTTTTTTCCTTCAAAACAAAGCTTAGTATTTTCTTCAACTTCCACTTTTCATCTGTGCATTTCATCGGTGTATTTTACCGTCAGGAGAGGAGATTTGTTGAATTTGCCTAAATTTTACCACGCTAGTTCAGTTTCTTGGCGTGCACCCACGGGAAATGGTAGTGGCTAACTGACCAATCAGAGCGCTCGATTTACTTTTCTTATGTTATAATCGTATTTCTCGCACTGTTTTTTCTTTTGTTTTCCTAAAACAAGAAATCTAAAGTGAAGTTACTATTAAAAAAAAGGTTCAAATGCGGTTGTCCATTGAAGCAATCTTCCTTGAAAGTTGCAACGACGCGTGCCGAGTTACATAAAATCAAGCATATTCATGTTGTTGCCAAAGGAATCGGGCTGGAAAACTATTTGATAAGAAATGTAGCGGCTCTTCGCAACTTTCAATGCAATGTTTGTCTAAGAAAAATGAAAACACTTTACCGTTGTTGTTTTCAACCAATTGCAAAAAGGTATTAAGTCGAAGATTGACATTTAATTAATTCTAACCAATCACTATTTTCACGCTCAGAAGTGTTGTAGACAATCGGAAGTCATGTCACAGATCAGCTTCACTTGCCGGTGCCTCCACGGCTGTATCGAGGAAACCACTTTTCAACTTTCTGATGTTGTTATACATTCACCGTTTAAAAACTATCCGGCAAAGGTAGATCGTTGACTGGAGAAACTTAATAGACAGAAATGAAAGCCAGATGACCACATTAAACGCCACGTTTGATCTGTTTGTAGGTCAGCACTGACGACAACGAATATGGCTTCGTGCACTTCTCCTCAATGACCTCGAGTTTCTCGACAATGCTTGCATGAAAATACAAAATATGAGGTTTTGAACTTCCGAAATGGACCAAATAGCTCTTCAATACTGATATAATGGCTTTCTTGCATGGAAGCTGGCAGGAGAAATAAGCCTTTAATATCTGGCATCAAACGGTTCCTTTCTAACAGTCCTAGATCCCGCCAACAACAATGAAAGCAATGCCAAAAACTCCTAATTTGGGTATATTGAAAAATTTGTTGTGGTTTCATTGCTTAGTTTTTTTGTCTGTTTAAAACAAAGACAAATGCTATCTTGAGGCTGCAATACTGAAAAATGAAATTTTAGCCACCCTTTCAAATAAGTGTCTCCCCCTCAATAAGCATTCGCTTGCGTCCCCATGCATTCCCAGCCGCTTAAAATCAATTGGGCACCCCCTCCTGGGATTATTTCCAGATCCGCAGAAATTAAATTATCTGTCACCTTCTAATATAAATTACATGTATACCTGATCACAAACATGTTCACTTACCTATAATACATCCATAGCCAGAATTGAGAAATAGTGTTTCTTTTAAAGGTCTTTATTCCAAACAGAGCAGTACACAATAATGACATCATTTTCCTTGCATCATGGCCAGTTTCACTGACAACAACAGTTACAGAATCTGGAATCTGTGATACATACTAATGAGTCAAACCTTCATGTGGGACGCGTCCTCTCGTTGGCAACCACCTCACATAAGCGACCGAAAAAAAAAAACCACCAAAATTTCCCCAACTGAATCACTATAGTTGGAATCTCTTCGGAATGATCCCCTCTCATAAGCAACCATAACCACGTTTTTGGATGTCAGATGATTTTAAAATTTC